TGGGCTGCAGGACTTCCACTAACTAGGCGAAATGATGCCTATTTAAAATGATGTGTGTGTGTGCATGCACGTGCACATGTGTGCCCATGTGCACATGCACATGGAGAACAATGTTTCTGTATATCTGCATACACTTTTCTGGGGAGTGAGTTTATAGTTTTCATCACAATGTCGAAGAGTAAATGACTTAAATAGTTATGGATCATTGCCATAAGTTTTACATTTCTAATTATATTATTCCTATATATTTCCTAGTTTTTCTGTTATTGCTATTAGTAAATTTTAGTCAATTTTCTAAGTAGATAATATTAATTAGATTTTCTCATATGTGCAGTTCATTTATAGCTTTATGTACTATTGACAAAGATTTGAATTTTTGATTTTTTTTTTTTTTTGAGGTGCGGTAGGGAGATGAGCTTAATGCATTCATTGCTAAATTCTTGAGGAAAGTAGGACTAGCAAATATTCTTATCTTTTTCCAAATTTAAATGTAGATTTGTTTTAAGAGGACAGGGATTTTTGGATAGGTTCTCTACCCTACTCCATGGCAACACATCAGGATTATCTATAAAGTCCTTTTAAAAATTAAAATATATATGTGCAGATGTTTTATACATGAATATAAAGAATTTTTAAATAAATATGGTAAAGTGGAGTGACTTCTAGTGAATAGGGCTTTTATGGATATGTGTGATGAAAACTTTCTAAAAGTGATAGTGGCGATGGTTGAACAACTTTATAAATATACTAAAAGCCACTGAATTGTATACTTTATGGAGATGAGTTGTATAGTAATATAGATTATATCTCAATAAAGTTGCTATTTTAAAAAAGCCACCTTCTCTAAACCTACAGTGTGACTGAGCAATTTGATAATAATTCACATTTCAAAAGGTCTTAGCCAGTATCCTATCTGTTAAAAAAATTGAACTAAAACAATAAGAATTAAAGTAAAACATGAAGATGCGAGGTATTGGTAATCTAATTTTTATTTGCATGGTACAATTCACAGGTTAATTTTATATACTTATAACTCAAATATATTCTTTATACCAAATATTACATTATGACAGTTTGATTGGGCGAGAACGACGGAATCTGAGCAAAAGGCCATAAAGATGTAGTACAGTTAATAATTATACCAGATTCTTTATGAAAAAAAAAAATCATTTCGAAAAAACTAAACATCTAAGGAAAGTAGGCAATTCTGACATTAAAAGATAAAGAAAGGGTTTTAAGAAGCCTTCAGCATGGCATTCCATTCACATCTCTGTTATACCACTTCAAAGCCAAATGTCAAACAAGCCAATTATATTAATAATTTCTAGGACCTAATATGCATCAAGAGACATGTTTACTGTATGATTCTCATTGCTTCTTTATGATTACTCTCTTACATATTACAGAAATATTCCGAACCTCCTCTCTGCAGTTTAAAATATAATTGAAAGAATGAATGACAACAGGTTAGAGAGATCCAACTTTTGTAAAAGCATTTAACCTCTGAGATCAAAAGTAAACAAAGCAGGGTGCTATGGACATAGTGGCTGCTCTCCCTGGTGATCAAAACTTATCGATAAGGTGAGGAGCAGCATACTGGGAAGGAGAAGTCAAGCCGTTCTGGACAGAACGCTGTGAAACTAAATGAATGGTACAGTTAGTTCAGCAGAAGGAGAATCTCTGAAGCACCTTGAGCATACCTAGATTTTCATTGCACCCCCACAGTGACTATGCAAGTCATTAATTTGACCAAAATACTGAGTTTTCATACTGTGCCACGCCAAAACAGAGAGGGTCACTAGCCTCATGGAACTCAAAGGTTTAGTGGGGAAGATAGGTAGCATTTAACAAGATGTAATTACTTATGTAATTGTGTGTGTGTATGCGTATGTGCACACACGCATCATACTTGGTTAACTAAAATATATGTTACTGTGAATCATGGTCTGAAAAAATATCTAATCTATATGATGACTACATAAGTCAGCTCTTTGCTCGTCTGGTTCCTGCTTGTCATTTAGGTCTTATCTCGGCCTTTCTTACCCATTCTACTTAATGTTGCCTCCTCCAAGGCATTTATTTTCACAATACCTTGTTTTATTTTAGATACTTATATTATTTACCAATATTTAAACTATCTTATTGCTTATAATCTTTCTCCCATGCTAGAATATAAGCTAATGAGAGGAAAGATATTGTTCCCTGCTGTGTTCCCAACATCTACGCCAGTGTCTGCTCACCTATAATATCCACTCGATAAACACTTCTTGACGGGATTAACTTAATAAATAAGTAACTTATCAAAGCTCACCTAAGTTAGATTTTAACTACCCTTTAAAATCATGTGTCTTTCATGACTGTGATATGTCAAATACAATCACCACTTCCTGGTGGGCCTCATGCTTGGATTCCAGCCACCCACTTCATAGTCCTAGATCATGGGAGAGTTGAGAGTTATATAATCATACTTTCACCACTGTAAAAAAGGAATCTTAGTTTTGAGACAAAAAGTATTTAGTTTTGGAAGGATGAGTAGCGTAGTCATTTAGTGAGTTAGAGAACAAAGAAAAAGCATGAGATTTATTTCAAAAAGAAATATAGGAAAGCTGGAGTCTTTAGACTCGCCTACATTTTAAATGTGAACCATCTAATACCCCTATACGGTTCAAACTCTTATGAAGAAGGTTATCAGTAGATTCAATAGGAAGTTAAGTGAGAAGAGAAATGTACACTGGGGAGCAAAATGAATAGAGAGGAAAGTCATATTCGCAGTCCAAGTAGGTTTGCTGGAAAATCTGTGGAATGTCATAGTTAGATGACTTAGATATTAGAAGTCTTTTTCTGCATTCAGTGTAAATCAGTGTCCTACCTGAACCCCACTAATGCCGTGAATGTATCTGTGCACATGTGCAAACACACATGTACACATGCTCTTGGAACTTTGAGGTGGGTGCTGCTGCTCTGCCTGTCTTATAGCATCAAAGTAATATTCACTAAATAACTCGCAATCACTTGGAAACTACTTCTGCACAGTAATGGGTTTTAAGTAATGGGAAGTATACATGATAATACAGGCTCTGGAGTCAGAGTGCCTAGGTTTACACTCCATTTCCACTATTTACTGACTGTGTAAGCTTAAATATACTCCTTAAATTCTCCGAACCTTAGTTGCTTTATTTGTATAATTAAAACTTCACAAAGTTAGTACGTTGACTGAGTTAATAATACACGTGAAGGCCTGGCACATGGAAAACCAGAGTGTTTACTAGGTATCACAATCTTTATACTAAGCTCTTTAAATGTTTTTCTCCTCTAATTCTCACAACAATCCTATGAGGCAGGTTATATAATAAGACATCCCCGCCCCCCACCTTATAGATAAGAAAGTGTAATCCAGGAAGAGGTTAAGTAACTTGTCCATGAATTCAGGACTAAGTTGTAGAACTAGGATTAGAACGTAGTCTTAGTGAGCTGCCTAAACCAGGTTTCCTAACAGCTATGCAAATATGGACATTTTCGTATCTCAGAAATATGAATAATGAACAAACCATCTCCACTCTGCCGCAGCTATCTAAATATCTGTATCTGAACAAGGGATTATATTACACATGTGCACACACATATCAATTGTACCTATCATATGGAGTTCTCCAAAAGAGGTTGAAAACCAGGGCACAACAGTACATTTATCAGAATTTGTTTCCATGCTTTTGTATCCTCCCTTCCAGGCCGATGACCCCACTAAGAAAAAGAGAGCTATGTTTTATTCATCTCATAGCAGACCCACTAAATATTGTTAGTGAAAAGCAGTTGGTTTTTAACAAAGATTTGGTGAATATATTTTAAAAACACGTAAGAAAGGGCTCTGTAAAATCACAAAGTACAAACCAAGCTTTTATAAAGTCAACTAAATTATTATAAATTATATTTATATTTATACATTATTATAGTTAGAAAAATATAAAGTTTATAAAGCCAACTTAATAATTATTAACAATAATAAGAGCCATAATACTTGTTGAAGATTCACAATATGGCAGGCTAAAGGCCTTATTACCTTATTTTAATCCTCATTACGAATCTGTGAAGTATCATTGTTTTCATAGGAGAGATCACATACTTTAAGATTACACACTAAGAAATGCAAGTCTTTCAATTTCTTTATCAAACTACTTTTCTGTACATAAAAAACATTTTTTAAAGAAAGATATGTGTGTGTGTGTATATGTGTGTGTGTATATACATGTATATATACACACACACATATATATATTTCACAAACCAAAATATCACTCATTTAAATATATAATCCTATGGGTTTTGGTATATTCACAAATTGTGCAACCATCATCACAATCTAATTTTAGAACATTTTCATCACTCCTAAAAGAAATTCTATACATAATAGCAATCAGATCTAACTACATATACTTTACATGCATAAAAGAAATGCAAATTCTTTTAAATAAAGCCTCCATTAAATATATGTATGTGTATATATATATATATATATATATACACATACATATATATATATATGAATGTATATTTGATAAAGCTAATGCAAAAGAAACTCATGAAAAAAACTCTAAAAGAGAAAATATTATGGGTCTCTGTAATTTGCATTAGCAACATTACCATCCATTCAAGTAGGGTCAGTAATCAAGAGCTGACATCCAATTCAGATTATTGTGAGTCAAACTGCAATTTCAAGGACTTCTTAGCATTCTTGAATTCACAACCAAATAGTAAGACTAGGATGGAATGTAGATAAAATAGTGTATAACCCAGTTTCATTTATGTTCACTCTAATATTATATTAGTGTCAAAGAGAAAAGCTTAGAAAAATAAAGTCACAAAAGTTAAGGATATGTAAACTTTCTCTTTCAGCATGATAGGTTACTAAGAACCCACAGCAATGTATTTGATAATTTACAACAATCATTAAAGCACAATTTAATAAGTTCTGCATCCACTTCAAATAATTTAAAGAAACTCACGGTTGGTAAATGCATACTCCGCTTCATTTTCATCACTGTCATCAGATGGAGCTTTATAAGGCGGTGGCAGTTTCATTGGAGGTGGAGCTGTTCCTTGCCTCTAAAGATGCAAAATTTGAGAAAAGGGTTAATTGCCTGTGTACAATCTTCTTTCTCAATGCAGAACAGGATAAAAAGATAGTCTGTAAATATTTTGACTGTATCCAGCTTTAGTCATATCACAAGGACTGTAATACAAATGCAACTTATATTTTTATGCTTCTGTTATTATGTGAAAGTGACTCTGTGATGTAAACACACCAATAGAGAAAACAGGAATTCAAAAGCACAACTTTAAAACTATTGATCTACCCAGAAGAATGTATTCCTTTCCCCAGTGAGAAAGCCAATTATATGTACCTACTTTACACTGTTAAAGCTTAATTTTCTTTGTTACTAACCAAGTATTTCAAAGGAAAAACATCCCAAAATTAAATCTCAAAGTAAAAAAATCCACTGTGTTAATTCTACGATTATTTAAACTTTTCATTCAATTGTAGAAGATACAGATTTTGTTCTTAAAAACATACTTGAAATGAAATACAAAGATTTTCTAACTGAAAAGGTATTCATCTATAATTTGTAGTAAATATACATTTTAAAGTTTTAAAAAAGAAATCATTATGATAAATATGTTTTGTATCTCTGTAAAAGTATTCTTTAAATTTACATACCAATTGATACAACACATAATATTTGGTCTAAATAATTAAAGCAAAACAAAACTCTATGATCAGATTACCTTCACAGAATGTAAATATTTTCTTGAACGCTGAAAAGAATACAACATGCCAAACTTTACGGAGAGATCCAAGATGCTAAAGAAGAGGAGTCGAAATACCCAAACACTCCACAAATTCTAAAACAACTGGATTAAGATTTGTTTTGCTACAGGATTTCAACAAAGCATATTTAATTACTACTTATATGACAAAACCACTAATGGCAGGATATACTTTAGTAAATGGACAATGACTGAGCCATTACAGAAAGCAGGCATGTAATAAATTCCTCCAAAATAGAGAACACTATTTGGGATCCATAAAGGAAAACACACACCCAAATTTATTTAAGAGACTGTCTAACCAAGGCAGTACTTCATATAAATGTAGAAAATTCAAAAATTGATAAAATTCAAGAACAATGAAGAAAAGATGACAAATATGAAGTGCTTATTAGCAACCAGAGAATACAGAAATGTGATCACATTGTCTGTTGTTTGAAAAACTTTAAAAGTAGCTAAGCAAAGAGTAAAAAAGGCAAACGAATTCTTTCCAGTAAACCTTTTCCTCAGAACTCGATTATTCTAGGTCAAAGAAAACGCTGCACAAGGACAGCCAATTTTTAAAATACTAAGAGATATGAATTCTTTAATAGCACTTTTTAAATATATTTAAGGGTAAATTGTTTACACAACTGATTTAACTTCTACACTCTCGAGAAGAATATAGAATAAACATGCGTTGGTTTCTTGTAGTTCGAATGTGGGTTGCCAGATACCTAGGGCATCTTTCTACTACATGTGAAATAACGGTATAGGCAGGGTCAGGCTCTCCCTGTGGCAATGAAGGCTGGAGCTAGGTATACTCTGAGACACCAGGTAAATAAATATCCACGAGGGACACAGACAGTGAGATATCCTCAGCTCCAAGAATGGTGTCTGGCACAACGTAGGCTTTCCTTAAATATTTGGTGAATGAGTAAATAACTGGTTGTTTATGAGTTAAATAACTCATGCTGTTTATGTTCCCTGACAATATTAACTTTTAGAAAAATGATGATGATGATGCAAATGGTTCTTATCCAACAGCATTGCATATTAATTTTGTCTGGTAAAGATGCAAATTATTTTAGTCCTATAGAAAGGATAATTCCAAAGGATACAGTTTTATTATGCTTAAGATATTAACCAGTTCTGTATCTAAATTTGAATTGTACTTAAGCATTCTTTCTTTCAGCAACTATAAATACTCGATTCTCTCCAATTTTCTCTAAACCAGGCTAACCACCATCTTATTAGTTCCCTTGTTAATGAGTTAAATACCTGTTACCTGCACATTTTGCATAATTTTATGTCATATTTTTATTTTTTTTCTCATATTATACTTTGTCAGTTTTGGAGGTCTCACTGAGATGTTTAAGTAGACTCATCTTTCAGAATCAATTAAATAGTGATGCCTGAGATATGCAATTCATGAGCTGTTTTAATCCCATATATGTGATTTCTTAGCTCCCAAAGTAAATTCCCAACAGAACGTTGTCTTTGTCATCCTGTTTCTTCATTTTTAAATTTCCAATTCTATATTTTTGTTTCCGATACTAAGCCAAGTTTGGTTCTGGTTTGTACTTGGGCTGGAAGTTTTCCATTAGTAGCAGCAATGAATGGAGTTCGGTTTTTATGGTCTGACAATTTGCTGAGATGATGAGGATCTATTATATATTGGTTATATATGGATCTATTCTCTATTGTTTAAGAGATAACAGTGAGTATGTTTACTACTCTTTTTGTTTTCCTGTTGGTGTTTTTGTACAAGAACATGTCATGGGTCCCCTGGAAAGAACAGCTTTTTGACATACAGGTGAGTGGGTTTTTGTGTCTACATTTAACATGTTTAAAGTAGAATAGATGCTGAAAGCACTCTATGTATATAAAATTAAGAAAAGCCCTTACCTCTCATTGGAGAGTATTAATAAATTAGATCTAAGTCTCCTAAAGAATCTCTTTCTGAATGGTTTGTAGAAACTAATAAATATGATTTAAATTTAATATTCCCAGAGTTTTCTAGAAAACAGTGAAACTAAACTTATGCTAGGTATTCCAGCCTTTTAATTAAAACAAACGAACAAACAAACCTTTTCACAGAAACCACTAATTCGAAGGCATTTTATATGAGAACTCAAATTCACAAAATCAAAGTGATTTGGTAATCTTAATTTGGAAACAGGTGTACTTTCTGCTCTCTTTGATCTTATTGGTGTGGAGTATAAAAAAAAGATATACAAGACTATAAAAACTTTTATACTAATGTTGCATGATACCCACATGTCTATGTGCTGTGTGCATGTGTGTATATATGTACATATATATAAAAGAATATTGCAAATCTTTACACATTAACCTGAGTGTTATCATCCAATCCTAAGGCCTAGCATAATGTAGACTATCACTAATACAATGCTGTATTTTTGTTGCTGTTAAGAATGATAGAGATCAATATGTCCTGTTACATACTAAGTGCCATCGGGAGGTTCACAAGAGATCATTTTGATCTTTGCAGAATGCCTTCATGAGGTTTCTCTTAGTTCCAGAGTCTAATGTATCCTGATTTTTCACTTGGAATGGATGTATGTCTTAACATCAACCTTACTGAAGTATAAAATGTAGTCATTTTAAGTACTCACTTGGAATAAATATATTTTTATAATGTATTTCACCAACATAATAGTCCCTAAAAAGTTATATTAAACATATTTTAACGCAAGTATCATTGCTACATATTAAAATTCAGTTTGGTTTAATGAAACAGACCAAAATTGATAAGAATCACACATATCTTTTTCCTTCCTGAGATCTTATGTGGAATTTTCCTGAATCTATTAAATTATCTCATTCTCCAAAGTAATTAAATTAGTAACCAGTTTATTCATCTATGTGTATTTATTATTTGTGTCCCCACAGACTGATCTCTTATCTGTTTCCTTTTGACGTTTTATCCCCAGACTGCTACACAGTAACTGATATGCTGTAAGTTTCCAACAAACAACTGATAAATGCTCAGACCTTAGAATCAACCCAAGAATTGACAAAATCCCAGCAATGAAACTAAATATTCTGAGAAACCTTTCTTCATCAAGTAAAAGTGGCAGATAAGATTTTGAAAATAAGTTTTTGCAACATGTGACTAAGTATAGAAACAACATAAATGCCAAAAGGCATGTGCCAATCCCTAGTAGCCTAAAGCTAGTTATTTTGTTTTGTTTTGAGCAGTCTTTATTCATTCAACGAGTATGTACTGTGTGCCTACTAGGTGTCAAACAGTGTTCTGGGCAATGAAGATAGATTATGAGACAGAAGAGGTCCCTGCTCTCATAATAGGTGTCAAACAGTGTTCTGGGCAATGAAGATAGAATAATTATGAGACAGAAGAGATCCTTGCTCTCATAGAGCTTATACTCTAGCACCTTTCAGATGCCACATTCTGTGGGTCTTCGTGTCTTGTCCCCATATTGCTTTAAGGCAGCAGTTGCTGAATTCCATATTGTTTGTTTTGTCCCACTAAAATGCAAGCTCCAGGAGGGAAGGAAATTTTTGTGTGTCTTTAAAAGCTCATTGCAGTACACTGAGATACAACTGACATAAAAATAAAAACTGCACATATTTTAACATGTACAATTTGAATCTATTACCACAATTGAGATAATGAACATAACCATCACCCCAAATTTGTTTATGCCTATTTTTAATCTCTTTTTCTCGCTCCTTCCCCCCGTCACCCCATTCTCCTGAACTAATCTCCTTTTTGTCATTACCGGTTGTGCTTTCTAGATTTTTATATAACTATAATCATACAGTATCTATTCATTTTTATCTAGTGAGAGCTAGGGATTTAATTGGTAGGAGGTAGAACTAAAGATATCACCCTCCCAACACGAATCTCTACAAAAAAAAACTCATACTTCCAAAAGGTTGAGAAAGAATTTTGAAAATAATGACCTGCAATCTATACATAACTAACACTTCTAAACCATAGTCTTCCAGAATCTACATAGTATCTGTGTTTATTAACAGTTGCCAGAACAAACCTCAGAATCCTTCACACGCAGTATATGATACTATTAACCAGAACATAATCTTCGTGATGAAAATCTGAACTCAAACTAGGTGGCCAACTAGGTTAAAATGGACAATCCTATAATTTAGTAAGCAACCTGATGTTACTTTTCCTTATTCTTTTCAAGAAACTTTTCCTCAAATCCTCAAGGAGTCTTGATTGGCCCCAATGTAAATGTATGCAAATAAAATGCTCCCAAGTGTTCAATTCAGTTATAGTCCACTCCCC